CCGCCTGAGGGACCCGGCACCGCTCGGCATCACCCCGGAGCGTCCAGCCCCCGGCACGCTCCTCCTCCCAGCTTTGCACCCCCTTACACCCGCTCCTGCATCCCCCCAGTGCGTGGTTATCGCCCTTTGCACCCCAATCGCCCCCTTTATCCCCTCCTTTTTGCATTCCCCATCCTCCCCTTTTGCACCCCCATTCCCATTTCTCCTCCTTTTTTCATCCCCATTATCCCCTCACTTTGCATCCCACGTCACCCCCATATCCCCCTTTCTACATTTCCCCATATCCCCTTTATCCCACCTTCATGCATCCCCCATCACCCCTTTATCCTCCATCCCTGTTCTCCCTCTTTGTTGCACCTCCATCTCCCCATTATCTCCACTTTTGGTACCCCATCACCTCCTTTGCCATCCTGTTGCCTTTTCTATTCCTCGCTTTTTACACCTCCTCTTTACTCAATCCTCCTCTTTCTGCACCTCCCCTTTTGCACCCCATCACCCCCTTTATTCCCCCTCTTTGTACCTCTACCACCCCATTTACCCATTCCCCTCTTTTTGCACATCCCCTTTTGCACCCCCCATTATCCCCTTTAATCCCCCTTTTTGCACCCCCATCACCCCCTTATCCTCCTTTTGCACCCCCTTTTGTCCAGTCCTTCCCTATTTGCACCCCCCTTTTTGCACCCCCTATAACTCCCTTTTACCCCCCGTTTTCTCACCCCCCACCATTCCCTTTTATCCCCCATTTTGCACCCCCATCACCCCCCACCTTCAACCAGGAGGAAGAAGCCACGGGGGTTTTTCTGGAGCATCCTGATGGCCACGGCCACCATCTCGCTGAGGGAAGGATCCGTCTCGTTGTTCCTGTCCAGCTCGTACACCATGTCCCCGGGCTCGAAGAGGCCTGAGGACAGGGACACTGCTGGGGACATCCTTCCCCCACCAAAACAAAAAGGGAGGCCAAATCCTGCTCCTCGTGCTGACTCAAGCATTTCACAGGCCACCGTGGGAGATTAGATAGGAACTGTGGGATAGTCCTGGCCCTTCCTTCCTCCGGCCCGGATGGATCCCACATCCCGGCCGGGCTGGGAGTTGCACCACTGGCAAAAACCCTGCATTCCTAGGAGGCAGATGCATCCCAGGGTGGGGGGAGCAGCCTCCTTGGGGGTGTTACAGCATCTATTTGGGGCACCAGCATCTTTGGGAGGAATACCAGAATTCCTAGGAAGGGGAGTAGCAGCATCCTTGGGGGTATTACACCAAACCTTTGGGGTACCAGCATCCCCAGGGTGGGGAGCAGGATCCTGAGGGAGTACCAGCATCCCTAGGGTGGGGTCCAGCATCTTTGGGGAGGGGTACCAGGATTCCTGGGAGGTAGAAGTATCCCTAGGAGGGGGAGTATCAGCATCCTTGGGGGCTTAACACCATCCCTTTGGGGCACCAGCATTCCTAGAGTGGGTATCAGTATCCTTGGGAGGGGGTACAGCATCTTTAGGGGGTACCAACCAGCATTCCCAGGATGCAGAAGCATCCCTGGGGAGGGGGGAAGTAGCAGCATCCTTGAGGGCACAACAGCATCCCTTTGGGGCACCAGCATCCCCAGGAGGGGGAGTACCAGCATCCCCAGGGAAGTAGCAGCATCTTTAGGGGGATACCGGCACCCCTTGGAGGTACCAGCATCGCTGGGTGTGAGGTCCCAGTATCCCCAGGGTGGGATACCAGCATCCCTTGGAGCCAGCACCATCCTTGGGGGGATAACTGGCCGCTCCAGCTGCCCCAGCACAGCCCAGGGGTCCCCCCCAAAGCACCCAGTTGAGGTTGGAGCACCCCTGGGTGCCGGGACTCACCCAGGAGGAAGTCGACACGGCTGAGGTTGAGCGCCAGCAGCTCCCGCCGGTTCCACACGTACTTGGCAACCTGGGGACAGGGGACAGGCACTGTCACCTCCCCATCACCTCAGCCACCCCCAGGGCTGCTCCCCAGAGCATTCCAGCCCCCAGGAATGGCTCTGCAGGGTCACAGTGTCACCTTGCCGGGGGGTTTGGCCTCCTGCCACGCCTGGACGAGGTTCCTGCGGTCCAGGCGGGTGCCCCGGTGCTTCTCCTCGCGGGGATACTCCACGTCACTGGCGTTTTTGGGGAACATGTATTTCCTCCCTCCGCCCATGATCACCTGCAAAAGCAGGGAGAAAATGTATTTTAAAAGTAATTTTTAATTATTTTTAATTTTTGAGGGGTTTAATGGGGGGGAAGACCCTGAGGGGGCAGAGCGGGATGTCCAGGAAAACCCCGGCGCTGCGGGCGAAAACACCCGAGGAATTTCACCTCGCTCAAAATAACCCTGAATCTCTTCCTATTAATTAAAACCCAGGACAAAAATAACCATTTCCAGCAGGGAGTTTGGCTTTTTGGCTGTTTTTTTTTCCCCCTTCTGCGGGAAGGATGCTCCACATCGGGATCCCCACATGAACCCGCCGGGATGGAGCCCCATCCCGTGGCTCTCCCTGTTTGCTTTGGAGCCTGATTTATTTGGTCTCTGTTATTTATAACCCAGCAGAGATTTTATGGTTTTTTTGTATTTCCCCCCCTTTCTCGGCGTGGAAGGTGAATTATAAAGCTGCAAAACACCAATGCCAAAATTATTAAGGCAAAAAAAAAAAAGGGAAAAAAAATCTTTTCCCCACTATATAATTATTTCCAGCCTGGGACAGAGTTAAAATTATTTTAAAGGGAAAAAAAATGGCAAAAGAGGCTATTAAAGAGCTAAATAACAGGCTGGGATGTTTTGCTTTGGGGCTATTTTGAAGGACAGAAGAGGATTTATTTACGGGGCTGAATTTCTGCATAAATCCACAGCGAGGGGCAGATCTGGGGGGGAAAGGGAGAGTTTTGGTCCTGGGAAGTATGGGAAGGGCAGGGGCTGCTGTGGAGGAGGGGGTCTGGGGCTCTGGTTCTGTATGTGCTTGTGGTCCAAGACCTGTGTGTGATGGGGTTCCTGGTCTCATGTGCACACAACAGTCCTGGTACCCCACCCATGGGTGGTCCTGGTCCCACATCTGCTGGGGGTTCTGGATGTGACCCCATGGGTGGTCCTGGTCCAGTATCCACTGGGGATTCTGACTCTGCACCCATGGGTGGTCCTGGTCCCACAGCTGCTGGGGGTTCCCAACTCTGCACCCATGGGTGGTCCTGGTCCCACAGCTGCTGGAGGTTCTGGATCTGCACCCATGGGTGGTCCTGGTCCCACATCTGCTGGAGGTTCTGGATCTGCACCCATGGGTGGTCCTGGTCCCACAGATGCTGGGGATCCTGGCTTTGCACCCATGGGTAGTCCTGAATCTGCACCCATGGGTGGTTCCAGTTCAGCATCTTATGTGGATCCCAACTCTGCACCCATTGGTGGTCCTGGCCCCGTATCTACCCACAGTCCTGGCCCTGCACCCATGGGTGGTCTCAGCCTCACATCTGCAGGGGTGGTCCATGCCCTGTACCCACTCACAGTCCTGGCCCTGCATCCCTTGGTGGTTCCAGCCCAACATCTCCCAGGAGTCCCAGCCCTTCAACCACTGGTGGTTCCAGCCCAACATCTCCAAGGGGTTCCAGCCCTTCAACCACTGGTGGTTCCAGCCCAACATCTCCTGGGAGTCCCAGCCCTTCAACCAGTGGCACTCTTGGTTCCACAGCTCCCCATGGCCCCGTTCCCATCCCCGGATGGTTCCAACCCCCACCCCAGGTGGTCCTGGTCCCATCCCTGCTGGCTCCAGCCCACACTCCCGGTGGCCCCCTCCCCATCCCTACCTCGATGTCGGGAATGTTCTCCACCAGCTGCCGGGCGATGTCCCTGCAGCCGCCCTCCAGGGCGTCCGGGGGCATCTCCCCGTCCGAGTACCAGTCGCGGTTGGCAGAGTGGGCGTAGGCGGCGCTGGGCGTCGCGTGGGTCACGCGCGTGGTGGTGACGATCCCCACGGCCTTCCCTGCACCCCGAGCCCAGGGGACGATGGTGAGAACAGCCCCAAAGCTGCCGCTTCACCCGCCCCCCCGAGTGCCCCCCGGCCCCTCACCTGCGTCCTTGGCCCAGCGGAGGATGGAGGTCACCTCCTGGCCCTTGGTGGTGTTGCAGCGGTCGCGGGTGACGCCGGCACTGACCCCCAGGGTGCCCTCGTTGGCTTTGACACCGCACAGGTAGGCAGTGGCCGTGCCAGCGCTGTCGGGCACCTGGGCATTGGTGTTGTAGGTCTGGAGGGGTGGGAGATGGAAAAACCACAACTGTTATCACCACCATCGTCATCACCAGCGTTGTCACCACCATCATCCCCACCCATCATCATTATCCCCACCCTGGAGCTCCCCTCCCTGTGCTGTTTTGCCTGCATGGGCCCCCATCCC